GGGGATTTTTTTGACTGAACATTTGCACATAGGTAGGTTTGCACTGTTTTTTAATGGCTAATTATGTGCTTCAACTTTTAGTGAATAAAAAAAAGTTGAACACAGTTTCATAACTGGTGCCCTAGAGGCCGAGCCTGACTACACTTAGGCTGTGAAGGAACTCACTGGATCCACTAAAAGTACAGATGATTTGCTAGCTGTAGGTGGCTCTTTCAAATCATTGATACGACGATATTACAGAACTTCTTGTGAAGTGTAACTGATCGAAACATTGGTAGAGTCAATGACACTGGCCTTATGTGGCTGCCAGAGAAAAAATGAAGCAAATCAGCTCCAACAGGCCATTTCAGAAAATGGATTAACATTTAACATTAACATTAACAACAGAGGTTGTTGTTTCCTTCAGTGACGGGGATTTTGAAAACGGTAGCATGTAGATAGAAGGCAGGGAAAATCCTGCCCTACATAGTCAGCCAGTGGCAGGCTTATAGCCCCAGTCTACATCCAGTGACTAGTCTTATAGTAACTTGATATCATCAGGCTTTACAAAGATTACTCCAAGGATGTGAGTTTATTACACAGCACAAATCCCATTTATTATTTAGGTGTTTTGTTTTTGTTCTTACTTCACATATTCCTGAAAGCATACCTTTTCTTGCTTACAATTCATTGTTTTTTCACCAAAATTGTGCTGTCGTCCTCGGTCCAAGTGCTAATCTATGACATTTGTTTTTTCCACTTTCTCACCTGACAACCAGTGTGGCCACCACGCTTTCCTTGTTTTTTTTTTTGTTTTTTGTTTTTGTTGTTTTTGGGTCAAAGTTTGACTTTCTGTTGCCGTGTTATTGTTTTTTTTTTGTTTGTTTGTTTGTTTGTATGTTGTTGTTTTTTTTTTTTGCTTTGTTTTTTTATCTGCTAATGCAGTGTAGAAAACATTGCTCATGCTGACTACCTAGTTCTCCCTTTGCATTCGAACAACCTCACAGTTACTGCTGCGTGGTGTATGATATTACCTGATGTTCAGAACAGCAAATGGAAATGTTTTTATGACTTCTCCCTGCTGCATTTTGCACAGCAAAATAATTCCAATTCTGTCAAACTCAAATTCGGAGTTACTGAAGCTGCAGGCTGCAATAAATGTAGAGCACCTTCTCACCCCAAACATCACATATTGGTGGTCAGTTCCACAGGGTCAGCTTTTCTGATTTGGCAGTGATTGCAGGTTGGAGCTTTAGAGGTAGATGCTTGCTGCTCCAGTTTACCTCCATGGGTGACTGTAAAAACAAAAACAAAAAAAAACTCTGTCAGGACAAACTGAGAGAAGTCCATTACACTAAAGTTGTGCTTTGGCACTAAATTGAGTATTGTGAAAACACTACTTTGGTGTCTGACTTTCTTCTAGGGGTTAGGGGTTTAGTCCTTCATCAGAATTGGTTCTTCTTGTGGTGATGAAAACCATTTGAGATCATTTGTGAATTCTGCCTTCCAATTTTGTGATCACTCGATTATGCAAGTCTACCTCTTACGCCAGGGCCACACTGCCAACGAAGTGCTGCGAAGCACAGCGCACCGAAATTCTCGTGCAAGCCCGTTCACATCGGACGTGCATTTCTCGCGCATGGATATCTCTCTCTGTTTGCGTGTGTGTGCCCCAACCCCCGCCCCCTATATATCTCACCAACACCTTGAGCGAATTTCTTCAAATTTGGCACAAATGTCCACTTGGAATCAAGGATTAACTGACTAGATTTTGGTGGTTGAAGGTCAAAGGTTACTGTGACCTCATCCTTCTCATTCTTGTCAACAAGAAATCTGTCATAATTTGGCATAAACCACTGTTTGGACTCAAGGATGAACTGAATAGATTTGAAGGTCAAAGATCAACATCACTTTAGCCTTGCATCTGTCTCATTTCCATGAACACCATATCTCAAGAAGACTTGAGGGAATTTTTTGAAATTTGGCACAAATCAGTTGGAATCAACTGATTAGATTTTGGTAATAAAAGGCCACTGTGACCTCACAGTACACATTTTTGACCATAATAAGAATTCCTTATTTGATTATGTAGAAATATCACACAAATGTCCAGTAAGATAAAATGATAAAGTAGTGGCATTTTGTATCCAGAAGGTCAATTTTCAACTTAACTGTGACAGCTAGTAGTATTTTGGCAACTATATTGCATCTTAACTCAACATAAGAGAAAGGGAGACATTTGGGCAGATACTGAATTGGCTACACTTGGGTGTCCACCTTTAAACTGTGCTGCTGGGTTGAAAATGTGTATGTAGCATCCACATTTTTCCAAAAAACAGACAAACAAAAAAAACATTCAATACCTTTTTATTAAATTCCTACAAAGTCTTTGCTATGTATTTCATACATCTGTCATCTGGACAGACATGGATGTAAACTGTAACTTGACTGGTTGGCGGAGGCATACAACCGCAAGGCAGTAATTCTGGTTGCTATTAAGATTTGACCAAATTGTTTGCTGCCAAGCATGACCCTTTATTTAGCATACGGCTCAGACTGACTCAGGCTGCAGGGCCATCTATGTCCTGTTATTTCAAGCCTCAGTTGTGGGCGAGAAGTAGGAGCTGTCAGGTTTGGTTTGTAAATTTAGAAACGACTGAGGTAGACCATTGACTGTCACAGTCATACACACACAGCCACATACACAGCCACATACACAGGAAATATCTAGTCCCATTCTTAATTTTTGCCTTCCATAAAGTCCCATCTTCATCTCCTTGTCTCCTGATCAGGACATTTTGCCATTGTTTGCGTTGCTTTATTCTTTCACTCTTTATAACGTTCCAGAAAAAAAGGACACCCCCAAACTTTTTTTTTGGTCTGATTAATTAATCTATTTATTAGGGGGAATTATCTGCAAAAGCCCTTGAGGGTTGATGGCAGAGGCAGATGGCAGTGCATGCAGATGCAATGGCCAGTTGCTCAACCTCTGCTACCTTTAACGAGTTTTTTACTGAACACGTACCTATGACAGAAGAATCCCTTGCTGGAAATATGATCATTTTCAATATCCCCTTGTCCAAGGTTTCCACCTCAAAGTACTATCTATCTAGCTGTCTGTCTGTCTGTCATGTTTCAATGACACTTTCTCTCTTCGCAATCATAGTTATCTCAGAGCAATCTGGAGTTTTCTTCCCCCATGCAGGGCTCGACAGTGCAAGCGTTTCACTCGCATTTGTGACTTAAAAATAGGTGTGTGCGAACTGTAAAAAATATTTAGGGGCACATGTGCACATAAAAAAACAGCCGAAGCAGCCTATATTTTTGTCAATAAATATGATAATCTAACCACAAATGTTGGAGGAACTCCAGCCGCCTTCCCTCTTCCCTCTTCCCCGTGTGACACGGTTATGGGCGGTTTTCCAAGCCACTGTCGGCACAATGAATATAAGCAGGGACAGTTTTTGCTATGGGCAATGTGGGCGACGGCCCAGGGTGCAATCTATGTGAGGGCGCACGAGCACCCTCCAAAAAAAAAAAAAAAACACCCAAAAAACCCAAAACTCGCCAGTTTTCTAGACTACCGCTCATTTCCATGTCAAGTTAGTGGAGTGGGCGCTGGGGCGCCCCTATTATCACGTTTCAACCAGCAGCAGAAAGGAAAGGCGAATCCTGGCGGTTGTGGGTTGAATGGGGGTCACAGACAGGAATACGGCGGAGGCTCATAGTGCTCTGCAGCGCAAGATAACGGCTTACCGGCGACAGAGAAGTCCAACTCCAGGTCCAGTAATTTCCTCTTTCGTTGGTTGCCCAGTAGTACCTGGACAACCGAGCCGTGGCGGCACACAGGTATGTGACGTGTCAGAGGAGAAACGAGCCGTTCACATTTCTCTCTTTGTGTCAGGTAATGGCCCACAAACCTCACCGCACTTTAGGGACTGTTCTTTACTTATGAAGGGACTGTTCTTTACTTGTCAGGGGAGGAGGGTGGCTGGTTGATTTTTATTTTATTTATTTATTTTATTTTGATGCCCCCTATGTTAATCACTTATTGATGCTGTTTTTGAAGTATGAATAAGTCAGTAAGTAATTTATTCCATTGAAATATCAGTGATGTATTATAGAAAAGTGATTTATCTTTTTACAAATGACAAAAGGCACATCTGCCTCATTCTTGCCGTGGTATCGTGATACTACTCAGAACTGTGATACTTTTACTGGTATCGTACCGTGGGGGGTGGGGCCAGGCTGTCGACTGGGTGAGAATAAGTCAACGTGTGGTGGAGAAGAGGGACCGGGAAAAGCGGCGGACCTCCAGGGAAGCCTGCTCCGTTCTCCCAGCAGTTAGGGACCGTTTGCCACGGTACCGCTGCTGGGCAGGGTGGAAATAAGTCCTGCAGAGTTTCAGAGGACCTGGAGAATGTTTTAGGATAGTAATAACATTATATAAGATAATCATATTGCAAGATAACATATATAAGATAATAACATTAAAGACAAATTTAAATTGCAATACTTTTTCAAAACTTGATGATTTTACCTTTCTGTACATTTTGTATACAAATTCATTAAATAATTTTGCTTGTAAATGTCTATTTGCATCATTACGGAAAACACATTATTTGATCAATTTACATTGTGCCCCTAAAGTTCTTTGTGCGCTCCTTACTTTTTCAACTTAGGAGCACATGTGCTCCTTGGGGAAAAAAGTTAGCCCTGCCATGTTTCTCTGAGCACCACAAGCAGTCACTTCAGGCCACAAGAAAAACACTTTTGTAATCTTTTCCATTGAGCTTGGAAATTGAATGATTTGTAAATACAGCATATAGAGTGCGTTTGGTTGTGTTGCTGCTGTTGACAGTGATAAAACACATTCTCACTTAACCCTGGATCGAGATCTTGTTGTGATGGTTTTCATACAGTTTCCAGACCCTGGGACTTCCAATAATGTTACCAACTGACCATTAAAAGCACTATGTGGTGGTATCTTAACAAGTTGTATCCTTCTTGTCACTCTGCAGTTCTGGATATGGCACGTCATGTGCCCCTCTATCGGGCGCTACTGGAGCTGCTGAGGGCCATATCCACCTGCACAGCCCTAGTTCCTCTGCTGCTGCCTCTCTCTGGAGACCTGGGACAGGACGAAGAGGAGGAGGATGAAGAACACTCTGAGGGACAGACCTCTGTAGGGATGCTGCTGGCCAAGATGAAGACATGTGTAGACACATACACCAATCGCCTCAGGTGAGATGGTCAAAATTAATGTAACTTAATGATGATTAGTGGAATAGTTTTTTTCCTCGGGTTTAACACTTAAAATATAAAACCCAAATGCTACACATGCCTATAATTATCTTACCTTTTGGACAAAGACAGACTTTATGCATAAAGAGTGAGGTCTAATTTAATGCCTTGATCCAACCATAACCCCAACAGTCCAGCAAAACACACTCTAGTTTCATTCAGTCTCCTCCTCTCTGCAATACTGATGATCTGGAGATCTTTACATCTATAGCCCTGTTAACACTTGGCATTAAAATTCACCCTGGGTGATGGGAATATACCCCAAGAGACACCGAGGACGCGTTGAGATTCATTCACTAAAATGCTTTTGGAGGTTGTCAGGGAAAGTCCACAAATGTGTTGTGTGTTTTATTACGACTGGAAAAGGCTTTTATTCTCACTCTAAAAATCCTCTATTCTGGGGAAAAAATAACATTGCCTTTGCTCTGCATAAACTGCTGTACCTTATGCACATTGATACAGCACCTAACCTAAGAGGTGTGGCCACACCATCTCCACATGAGTGAACTCACCTCCTCCTGTAAGCTTATTGACAGCATACTGTGCACAGGTTTACATACATTATGCATGCATACATGCCAAGGTGCCTGATTATGAATGTATCTGATAGCATTTTCAGAAATGGCTGGCATAATGTTGTGTGGTTTGTGTTGTCCATTTGTGTCCCATTTACAGAGCTGGGTTGTGTATAAGCACAGGTGTTTTTTTTTATTTTTTTCAGTGCACACACAGATTGGACAGCTAGCAGACCGTCAGGAGAAATTTACTAAATTTGTCAAAAGGTGTATTGATTAAAATCACAGACTGCACCTTTAAGGGCTAGCAAAGTAAAAGTACACTGAAAAGAGACTTACCAAATAAATAATAGTTAGTGGAAATCAAGATGTCTTTTATGCATATAAATCAATGACACATTTTATCTCCTGTTTTCTTGCTAACAATATAATAATCAGCAAATATTGGTAGCATGACACTGAGACAGAAATTGTCTTGTCAGAACACAGACTTTGCTCTGCATATGCTGAACACTTTCTTGGTCCAAATACAGGCTGGAAAAAGTGTTCACTTTACAAATGTTTTAAGAGAATGGCTCCCAGATTAAACTGCCACTTCCCAGTAAGTTCCCTTGTACTACTCTGTTTTGGTTTTTACCCAAAGACAGCCGCCTTATGTTGAGATCAGACACATGGTTTATAGCCCTCCCCAACAGACAGGCATGCATGATGGCTTGAGAAGAAGAATCTCCCATGTCATTTGTTGGAAACGAATATATATATATATATATATATATATATATATTGCCTTCTCCTGCCTTTGACAACTGTGACAGTGAGTTCTGTGATGTTGGCCCAGAGGAGCAACTGTTCACATGGCAAAGCCAAAGAGGAATTATATTTTTTCGTTTCAGTAGACCTGTAACCACTTTTACTCTCACCCTGGTGAGTTTAAAAGTGAATATTAAATTAGCATTTTACCACATTAATTTGTAATGTACAGTAATTGCCAAAGAATCCCAAAATTTCTCCTGAAAACAAAAGAATTTCTGCTGACTGGTGTGAAGTTTGCATGTTCTCCCAGTGTTAGTGTAAGTTTTCTCCAGGTTCTCCGGCTTCCTCCCATAGTCCAAAGACATGCGCGTAGGGTTTATTGGTGACTTTAAATTGCCCATAGGTGTGAATGTCAGTGTGAATGGTTGTCTGTCTCTCTGAGTCAGCCCTGTGATAGTCTAGCGACCTGTCCAGGGTGTACCCCGCCTCTTGCCCAATGTCAGCTGGGATAGGCGCCAGCACCCCTGCGACCCTGAACAGGATAAGCGGTCATGGATAATGAATAATTAATAATTTACCTTTCAAATAATTCTCACAAAAATAGATTTCTGAAATCTGAGTTATCAGACACCACCCAATATTACATTATGGCTGAATATCTATTTGTATGTGTTTCAGGTCAAAGAAAGATAAGAGTAAAGGTGTGGTGAAGACAGATAGCTCAGATCCAGAGCCAGAGGGTTTGACTCTGTTGGTGCCTGACATCCAGAGGACAGCTGAGATAGTCTACGCTGCTACCACCAGCCTACGGCAGGCCAACCAGGGTATGTATACAACACATGTGGCTTTATTGTGAAGCACTTTGGCAGCTGACTTCACATTCTCTGCACTGTTTGGTTTAAACTCACTTTTTGATCTGAATTATTTCAGAAAGTCCCAGCTTTTCCATTGCCCCATTTTAATTTTTGTCTCGCATCCTAATCTGTCTGTGTCCTGTCCTCTTGCTGCAAGGACCCATAAATGGGTCTCCAAGTTTAGCCTCCCTAAAAGTCTGAATTACTTTCTAATTTAATCTTAATTGACGATGCTGTTGGATTGTTTGTGAAAGTTGAACTTGACCAAACAGTCTCAAGCTACAGATCAAACTAATCATCTGTATTGCCTAAAACTCTAATGTGACACCTGTGGCTCTTGAAGTCTGTGATTCTCATATCACTCATGAGCCATGCTGAGAAGAAGCACAGTTTCTTCTAACTGCGTCTCAAGATTCAGACTGTGAAGAATTGTAAAGGGCAGAGTACACATGTATAAAGGGTCCAGTGTGTAAGATTTAGGGGGATTTAGTGACATCTAGCGGTGAGTATTGCAAATTGCAACCAGCTGAAATTTCTGCTGGTTAGAATTACTTCAGTGTTTATTGTTCAGGAGGTTTTCACCAGGAGCTGAATTATCCACACAGATCTCCTCCTCACCAAAACAAACAGACCAGGTGATTTAAATTGGTTAAAACACTGAATAAAGCAATTTCACGTTACAAATCAGTGTTTCTCCCACAGGACATCACAGGGCCCGCTTGCCCAGCGCTTGCAAATGTGTACTCACCTATTTTCTTTTTCTTTCTGAATTATCAGAGGTCTCTCCCTCTCCAAAACAAACTGACCTGGTCGGTAAAACCAGTAAAAACAATGAATGAAGCAGTTTCACATTACAAATCATTGTTTTTCCGAAGCTGTTTGGCATGTCGGAGATGGACCATTAGCCCAGCACCTGCTAATCTGTGCTCACCTTTTTCTCGGATAACTTAAGAATCAGATGTTCAGGAGGTGTTTACTGGGATCAAAATTATCCACAGAGGTCTTCCTCTCCAAAACAAACAGACCCGCTGATTTAAACCAGTAAAAATACTGAATTGAGTAGTTTCAGGTTAAAAAAGTCTGTGTTTTTCTGTCTGATGCTCTCGCTGCTGAGGGGCTGCTAACTACAGTGGTTGAAGCAAAAACACAAATGGCCCTACCCAGAGCCAGTGTTTGGTTTGTCCATTCTGGGCTACTGTAGAAACATGGTGATCCCCGTAGATGAGAACCCACTCCCCATGTAAATAAATAGAAATAGAGACAGAAAATGTTTTTTTTTTTTATATTTGATTTCCGCCAATATATCCCCCCTAAATCCTACAAACTGGACCTTTAACTTGTTTTATATATGGAGAAATAAAGCGAGAATGGAGATTCTTGTCGCTAACCATTAGTCACATCAATAAAGCAGGGGCATCAATAAAATGTCCGCCGCATGATGAAACATCACTCCTCCCCCATTATCGTGTTGCTACACAGTACACAGTACTAATTACTCCCCACCCGCCCATTTCTTCCAGCTCCCTTCAGAGAAATTTTATGTTCTGTCCACAAACATTTATCTCACTGATCACTTAGGTAAGGGAATGCCATTAGATGTGGTGGTAGTGTGCTTGTGGGGGAATGGATAAAGATATGTGTCATGTCACTTCACATAAAGAAATCCATACAATTAAGCCCTCCAGAATCACACCGAGTTGTGTGGTGTTTAGCACGAGGGCCTGACAGATGTATAATCATTTAATTAGTACACAGTCTTTAAGAAGTATTTCTCAGAGAAGCCATGATGAGGCAGGAGTAGAAACATCAATGTGCCTGTTCTAACTGAACAAGCGAAATAAGCGATCTTCCTACGAACATCTTGTGTGCTTCCAGGGTTGGGTTGTAGTACTGTTCTTTAAATGGGCTTTTATGGAAATATGTACAGGTTCACTCTTTAGCTTAGAAATAGTAGTATGCCAAAATGATCCTAGTTACAGGTCCATTTACTAGATTTTTCAAGAACTTTTGACACACAGCCTTAATGAACAAGCAAACTCCACCCACTGATGAAGACTGCAAAATGTGGTTGAAAGCTTGAAGAGTATTTACTCAAATGATAATAGTTCTATATGAACAGAGAACCTTAATACTCTTATACAAATGTTAATGCATTGAGTGCACCTGATGAGATTACAGTAGATGGAGAGCTGCAGCCTGTATCATATGGTGCAGGTTGTTATCGTCAGATGCACATGATGGCTGCAGTGGTGGAGTTGTGCCCTTCCGCTGCCCACTTGGGACACAGAACAGAGATAATGATGGGTGGCAGCGGGAACAGCTTGCTGTCTAAAAGTTTCTTTATTTTCTTTGCTTTTTCTTTAGGTTATGATAACATTATATTCACCAAAGTAATTTTAGATAGACAGATATTTGGGAACACACCAATATTGCTACAATGAAGTACAACATGGCAGGAAACACTAGAAGGCAGGCAGGTTGTCAGGACATTTTTTAAGCCAGATTATATATACCACTTAACTTTTAGGTAAAACTAAGCAGCACCCTCCGGGGCTAAAATATGAAGCCAACACTGAATTGCCAAAAACTGTTGTTCCTCTAATGGCCACTTGAGGCTTGCTCCAAGAACCAATCAATCGCAGCAGACCCCATGCTCAAATGCCCAACTTTACAGCAGAAATAAACATGTTAACAGCCTGGTACAAGAAATTGTATTGGTGTGGAATGTGGAAATTGGTCTCTACACCTAATTTCCACATTCATGACTCCTGTACAGGGTGAATTTTTATATAACTCACCTGTTTCATTTTTATTAAGGCTTAATATGAGGCATAATTAAGATCATGGCCACTTGGAGTGGCAGGCTATCTGTGAAGCCTCACTGCAGTCTATGAGTCAGCTCCAATCTCTTGTCTTAATTTGGTCACTTGCTCCAAAAATCCAAAATAGGGATGACTGCAATGCGGAACTTGAGGCTTCCAAACGTGAGTCCACAAGCCAATGGATGACATTTGTAGACTGTATAAAATAATGGTTGCAGCCACTGTGATGTCACGCATTGGTTTGTGGGCTCCCATTTTGAAACCACGAGTTTGGCCTTTTGGCATCTTTGATATTTTTGGAGCCAGAATTTACCATATTTGAGCAAGAAGGTGGAGCTAATCCGAAGGCTAGCTGCTAGTTTGGTTAGCACTGTTCATTTACAGCTATGGTTAACTGTGATAATGCTATTTTTCGCTAGCAAAAAAGGCTTAAAACTACTAAAACAAAATGTACTTCCCTGAAAAACTGACCATGTTGGCGCTCAGTGACATCAAGTATAAGTAAAACCAAAAGTAAGCATATCCAGACAGTTGGTCATAACTTCTCATGACACAAAAAACTGTGTACAGCATAGCTAGGGAATGAATAGCAGGTCAAAATTAAGTATGTTTACAATGCATAGTTTGGCTTTGAATATCTTAGTTTTTGCTTTTAAATAAATTCGTTAAGAGTTAGTTTGTCAGCCTGTCTGATGATCTGACCACCTGTGCTCATTGAATCGTTTGGCCTATTAGCGATGTTTCTGCGTTCTGAGAGTGTCCTGTAGATCAACCTAAGATTGTTGAGTCACAGTTGTTTCCACCTGTCCGCAGTGCTTCTTTGTGTGCAGGCCTGTATCTGGGTGTGTTTCACGAAGATTATTGCAAAGATTGCTAAGGTGACTTTTCTAATAAATCGCCCTGTGGCAAGCTGGAAAACGTTCTGAAGCTGATGCCTCTCTGCCACAGTTACTCTCTGAATGCCTCTTTCCTGTTATCTCACTTTTGTCTTCTTTTGTTCCCACCCCAAACCCCCACCTCCTCACCAGAGAGGAAGCTGGTTGAGTCTTCAAGGAAGGTGTCAAGTCGACCCAAGCCCCTGTCCATCCTCCGATCTCTAGAGGAAAAATACGTAGCTGCCATGAAGAAGCTGCAGTTTGGTGAGTTTTTAATGTTTGCTTTGGGATGTGTGTGTATGTATGTGTGTAT